ATTTTGGAATCCTTGTTGCCACTTGCTTCCATTGGACCAAACCTTTGGATAGCCTCCTTTTAAAAAAAAGGATAATACAGGAAGTCCCTGGGTTACGAACGAGATCTGTTCCTTGGCATGTCTTTAAGTCAAATTTGTAGTTTAGTCGGAACAAGTGCACACATTTCTTAGTGTAAGAAGCCCTATGGGGCTCCTATGACTCAGTACTGAGTAGATGACTGGGGTTTTAGTTCAAGAAAAGTGTAAAGCTTTTTAAATGCTTTAAAAGCTTCACATGCAGCAACTGAAGGTGATGGTGATGAATTTATTGCTAGTAGGAGTCCTGGTATGGTGCTGGACTGCTAACCACAAGGTTGGTGGTTCACACCCACTAATACACTTCTTGGGAACCCTATGTTGTTATTGTTAAGTGCTGTGGAGTCAGTTCTGACTCATAGAGACCCTTCATAGGGTTTCTGAGGAGCAACTGGAGAGTTTGAACTGCTGATCTTGTAGTTCAAACTGACCTTATGGTTGAGTGCTTGTCGTACAGCAAGCACCACACTAGGACATCCTATACAGGGTTACTCTTAGTTGGAACCCACTGGACTCCAGCAACAACTTAACAACAAAGGGGTTTGTTGGAGCCTTTCAAAGGGAGGGCAAATTTGCATAACCTGAAAGGGCAAGTAACTTGTGTGTAAGTTAGAAGTTAGCAACCCTGTGGACTGTTTGTTTCCAGCTCTAAGTCAGACACTTTGTGGTGGTTTGCTGGGGCTCTGGCTTGAGCTGTTGCTTTCTGTCTCTGTGTTCCCACCACAGACTGCTGTTTTCCAAAGTGAAGTTGGAATCGCTGTGCCGGGGCCCAGATGAGGCGCTCCTCACCTGTAAGCACATGTTACAGATCTGGAAATCCTGCTACAATCTAACCAACCCCAGGTAAGAGACCAGCAGTGCCTGCTTCCCAGGGTGTTTCCTGGGACCCTGCCTTTCAGGGCCATGTCAGAGTGTCATTGTTGTGGTTGTTAAGTGCCATTGGTTGACTATGACTCATAGCAACCCTGTTAGGCTTTCCAGTGAGCAGCTGGTGTGGTTGAACTGCCAACTTTGAGGCAGCAGTCCAGTGCTTAGCCTAAACACCACACTAGGGCTGGCATTTAGCAGGCATTAACTCTTTCACCACTGTGCACCTCCAGGTTCCCAGGTGGCAGACCACAGCAGTAGAGTCTCCCACTCCATTTTTAAGGGGATTTTCTCCCCGTGGCTTTTGAAGCCTCCATATTGTGGGTTCCTGGCGCTTTTTCTGCCGTGGTGCCCTGCTTTCTCACTACCAGCCAGTTACTTCGCCTTTTTGACACAAAGATGATCAGTTGCATAGTTCAGGCAGGCTTCACTTTAGTAACCATAAAAGACCCACATAGACAACAGACTGCATCCTACTAAGGCAAGGAGAAATTGCCCTGGACAAGGTAAAGTCGAATTTTCATAAAATTTATAATCATGACTCAGACAAATATAAAATAAACCTGTGACAGAGATTTTATTTACTTCAGCTCACGAGGAAACAAGTAAAATGCTAAGGCCTGTTCAAAGAAGAATCTAAAAAACAAATATACAGGGGAGGAGACTTCAAAAAGTTTGTGAAAAACCATCCGTTGTCTATTCATTCCATTTTTCCATGAATCTTTTGAAGCCTCCTTGTATACGTAGATTGTTGTTTTTGTTAAGCACCCTCAAGTCAGTTCTGACTCATAGCAACCCTATATAGAGTTTCCACAGAGCAGCTGGTACGTTTGAACCACCGACCTTTTGGTTAACAGCCCACTGCATATCTTCAGCACCATACCAGGACTCCTGTGTATATAGATAGGCCAGATGAATTTGAAAATACATGAAAAATTAATATCCTATAAAGCAATGAAATGTATTTCCTGGGGGGGGTATCTTTTCTGCAAGGGGTGGGAGAAGGGAAATCAACGGTATCTTCACCAAAACCGAGGCTTCCAAGTGAATTCTGACTCATAACAACCCTAAAGGACAGAGGAGAACCTCCCCATAGGGTTTCCATGGAGTCATGGGTTGGTGCTGTAGGATAAGTGCTGGACCACAAGGTCGGTGGTTCAAACTTACCAGCCACTCCTTGGAAACCCTGTCCAGGGTCACTGTGAGTCAGAACTGACTCATTGACACTTAACAACAATGCCATCATCTTTCTAGAACAACAACAATCTTTTTGGAAGCAGACTGTCCCATCTTTCTCCTAATGATCAGCTGGTGGGCCTGAACCACTATCCTTTTGGTTCGCAACTGAGCGCTTTAACCACTGTGTCAACAGGGCTCCGTACCAGACTTACTGTGACTATCAGTTTCCTACCAGTTAACTTTGGCTCCTACAGAGATGTAGGGCAGTCTAGTCAATAGGAAGGCCATCAGAGAACCCTGGGACAGTCCACCAGTCAGCACCCATCTTCCCCTGGTGTGTTGTTAGGTGCTGTACAGTTGTCCACAACTCATGACATACGTGTAACAGAATAAACCATTGTCCAGTCCTTTGCTTCCCTCAGGATGGTAGCTATGTTGGAGGTCATTGTTGCAGCAGCCCATCTCACTGGGGTCTTCCTCTTTTTCGCTGACCCTCTATGTTACCAAGCATGATGTCCTTCTCTGGCGTGATCCAAAATAGCAAGACATCCTCACTTCTAACAAGCATTTCACTGGACATTACCCAATAAGCTCTTCTCCCATTTTCAAATCTTGGACAATTGTCCTTGATGTGTGTTTGGATTACTATGAAAGAAGTGTTGTTGTTGTTAGGTGCCATCTAGTCGGTACCGACTCATAGTGACCTTATGCACAGCAGAATGAAACACTGCCCAATCCTGGGACAACCTCACTACTGTTGCCATGCTTAAATCCATCGATACTGCCACTTTGCTCATTGGGGGGCTCCCTCTTTTTCTCTGACCCTCCACCCCACCAAACATGATATCCTTGTCCAGTGACTGGTCCCTCCTGACAATATGTCCGAAGTATGAGAGACAAAGTTTGGCCATCCTGGCCTCCAAAGAGAACTCTGGCTGCACTTCTTCCAACACAGATCTGCTGTTCTTTTGGCAGCCCATGGCACTTACAATATTCTCCTCCAACACCATGATTCAAATGCATCAGTTCTTCTACGGTCTTCCTTATTCACTGTCCAGCTTTCACATGCATATGAGGTTATTGAAAATACCATGGCTTGGTAAAGGTGCACCTTAGTCCTCAAGCTGACATCTTTGCTCTTCAACACTATTGTAGTGAATTCGCTCATCTACTCAGAATACATCTTCAGTTCACAGCAAGGTCTACAGACAGTTCATGTGCCCATGAGAGTCGGGAACCTTCAAAGGTTGAAACTCATTTCTGTAATGTGTTTGTAAGTGTGCTTCTGGGGTGGGGGATAGCTTGTGCAGCCCAAGAGGAGCAGGGAGTGGGCTGCAGCCTGCAGAACAGAGGTATGCAAAGATAAGGTGCAGCAAAGTGTATGTGGGGTTTCAGGGAGGTTTTGATAGATAAGAGTGTTTCATTAAAAAAAAAAAGTGCTAAAATCAGAGCTCTGTGAAGAGGAGGGGGCCCCTAGCCTCAGGCAGTGCAGCTGAAGGTGGGATCTCAGACTTCCCAGGACACCCCCACCCCACGCCCAAGGGAACAACACAGCCCCTTGCTGAGCTCAACTTGCAAGACTTAGACCCGAGTCTCTGCCCATCACCTCTGCCCTGGGCTCCCATCATCCTCTGTGCAATGGTCATCACGAGAGTGGCCTTCTCCCATCCATGGGTGTGCTCTGAACATCAAGATAATTTTCATTAAAAACAATTCCACTTTTCTAAGACGGCAAGCAAAAATAGAAAATGCCCACACTTATCTCCCCTCAAAGCCCCCCATTCCCGGCCTGTCAGAAGCTGCCAGGATTTGGGGGAGAGCCTTCATCACGTCACCCAACTCACAGGAGGCATAGCCCAAGCTGGCTGCTCAGCGCTGGAGCACAGTTCCTTGTCTGTCTCCCCCTTTAGAAATGAGAAAATAAATCCATCAGCTTTCACGTTGCCAATTTTCCCTCAGTTCTCCACACCTCTCCCACCTCCCCACATTTCCTCCCACTTAGCAACCAAGAATATTGAATGTGAAGATTTAAAAAAAAAAAAAAAAACCACAGCAGAATGGGAAGCTTTTAAAAATCCTTAACCAAATGCCTGGGCTGGGCCCCTACTTCATTTCCTGAAGAATCTGTCAGGACCAGGGCAGGGAGGAACCCTGGCTCCAGCCTCAGAGTCTAGGTGGGGAGCCGGGGAGGGCTCCCTGCAGTGCCTCCCACAAGTCTTCAGGGAGGGGGGGGGGGGGGGATCCAGCAGCCCCTTACTAAGGAGCTTCCAGTTTGTGTTCTTTAAAATTGACTTATTCTCTCTGGGATAGAAATAAATGATGCTCCTGTAGGCCTTACCGCTGTGAAAATGTAGGCTTCCCCTACTCCTATGCTGAGGTCCAAAGTGGCCCTGGTGAGAGAAGAAACTCTGTCCCCACAGGACCAGCACACTGTGCAGTTAGTTCTCCAGAGAAGGACAGCAGCCTGGAGTCTACAGTCAGGTCACAGAGGGTTCTAGAAGAAGTTAGAACAGCAAGAACAAGTGTGAAAAACAGCCCTTCAAAACTTAAAAAAAAAAAAAAAAAAAAAGAGAACTCAAAGGAAAGCATTTTGGTAGGAGACACTTCTGTGTCTTCCTGGAGTGGGTGGGCACTGACTTCTCTGCCTCAGGGGCCACCCTGGTTTTGAGCATGCTCAGTTGTGGTGGGACCTTTAACCTGCCCAGGTTTCCTCACACCCTCCTGAATGCAGGCAGCTCACCGAGTCTCCAGGCCTCCAGAGCAGTTTGAGGTGGCACAGAGGGAGACAGGATAGTGGCAGGGAGCTGGTGGCCAAAGGGTGGCCTCCGTAATGCATGCCCTCCTTTTTATTTTTGCTTGAAGGAAAATCACACTATGAACTAGTCACTGATCTGAGCCTTCGAAAACTTGCAAATAGTGTTTGTTCCACCTGCAGCTGAGAATGCATCTCTTGCTGTGAGCAGAATGGTGGGGGTGTTGTTTTCTCAAGGGGGCGGGGTACATTTGGCAAGGTCACTGCAGAAGTCTGGTTTCCTTCCCCAGTCTGCAGTTGCAGTGAGAAATCTCTCTCCTGTTTTGTCTCCTCTTAGTAAAGCCTAAAGCTCCCTCAGTTCTTGTGCATATTGACTAACTGGTGGCCAGTTGGCTGCTTAAAATAAAAGATTCTGACAGGAGCCCCAGCAGAAGGTTCCAGAAACCCCCTGAGTTGAGTATCACAGCATTCAGCTGAGCAATGAGTGTTTAGCTTCCTCTGAGCCAGCTCTGGGCTGGACTGCTTGTATGTTTTCTTCAACCCCTACATTAGCCTTGCAGGACAGCTACGGTTGTTTCCACTTTATAAAGAAATATAATTTAGGCCCAAGGAGGGTAAATTACTTGCCTCAACTTTCCCAGTTCAATAAGCAGTACAACTGTGGATGAGACCCAGGTCTGTCCAAGAGCAGCGCCCCCTCCCACCACCAGCACCATAGCAAGCTGCCTCTGGTGGTTGACAACCAACTTCATTTTCTTTATTTTTATTGCTAACTGATCACTTTTCCCCCACCTGCCGCTGCCACCCGGACCCTAAGACTGTAGCCATGAGTTGACATCTCCAAGTGATTGGAAGAAAGAAATTTCTTCTAAGCCCCTTTTTCAGTCATTTCATCCAGTTATCCATTATGCCACCCTTAAATGTTGGAGACTCCTTTTCATTCTATAGGCAGTCCCCCAGGTGACAAACATCCAGCTTATATACAACCTGTAGCTATGAGCCAGCACCCTCCCAAAGCTCATTATATTAAAAACTCAAGGTGCGCACAACGATTCATAATCACATATGGGCACTACTGGAGACACACAACAGAACATTATTATTGCTGTGACTACACTATTCTGTTTAAGATGTTTTAATGTGTGTGGAAGTGGTCTTGAATGGTGTTTGTGCATAAAAAGGTACACTATATATAGTATCTGTTGTTGCTGTTAAATGCTGTGGCGTCAGTTCCAACTCGTAGTGGCCATGTATGGGTTTTCAAGACTTTAAATCTGCATGGGAGAAGAAAGCCTCATCTTTCTCCTGATATGGAATATACTAAGACATATGTTTGACTAACCGACATTAGATACGAACCACACCTAGCGGTTCCAACTGATTTACGTACAAATTAGGAACAGAACTCTTTGGGTAATCCAGTCATTTCATAAAGTTATCCATAATTCGAGCCTTGGAAGTTGGAGACTCCTTTATGTTCTATAGGGTAATGGGCACCAGCATTTTGGTTGAGAGCCCTGGTGAAGCTATAGGATAAGCACTGGACTGCTAACTGCAAGGTTGGCAGTTCAAACCCACCAGCTGCTCCATGGGAGAAAGAGGAGACTTTCTGCGCCCATAAAGTTTAGTAAACTCACAACAACAACAACAACAAATAGGGTCGCTTGCTATGAGTCAGACTCAACTCAATGCCAGTGGATTTTTTCTTTTCACAAGGATTTTCATGTCTAATCTGCAAAGTCACGTTATATCACATACATTACTAAGGAGAAAATCAAGAGTTTTAACAACTTGACCGTAGTCCTCCAGTCCTCTTAGGCCTGGGGAAGAAGAGGTGCCCCTTCCCACCAGCCCAGCACTCCCTGTTCCTTCGCTCTTATGCATGTGGATGTGTGTCCAGCACTAACTCCTCCAGGGACTGAGAGGAAGTAAATCTGCAACAAGAACACTGGAGTTCTGACTCCTAGTCTGCTGCCGCCTGGCCTCTTGTGTTAACCGCTGTGGGGCTGTGGAAAATGGAAGATTTCCAAGAGAACTTTCCAATTCCCCATATAACTTTGACTGTCATGATCGTTCACTCTTAATGTTCATTCCTAACGAGGAACAGAAATGGCCTGGCTTGTGTGGTAGGGGCCAGGGGCTCCTGCCAGCGGTCACTCCATAACCTTCCTCTAGCACCTTGTGACCAGGAATGGTTTTCCTTCCTTCCATACCATGAGGAAACTGAGCTGAGAAAGGGGATAGATGGTCGGTGTGAGGTAATGTCTTAGAGAGAGAGACGGTGATGTTTAGGATTGCATTAGATAGACTGGCCCAAGTGAGAAAATGAAAGAAACTCAAGGGTTGGTGGCCAAGGCCTCCTCTTCCTTCTTCTCCCACATCCTGTGAGTCCGAGGACAGACAGCTCTTGATTGCTTAAGATGCTGCACCATGTAAATGAAGAACTAAACATTGCTTCCACCACCAGGCAAATTTCTCAATCAGTCATAAATACCTAATTATTTTTAGAGGGAGAACTTTCAGTGTGGAAACAAAAGCATCTCCATTTTCAATTGTTCTTGCATAGGCTGTTTTCAACGAAAACGTGGAAGACTAAGGAATGTAACTGTTTGTTGGTAGTGTCTTAGCTGGTGTAGGGGAAGTGACTCCTGTATTGTTATCAGTGGATGAGGTTCTCAGATTAAGATGATGGTTTTAGTTGGGATTTTCTGACATTTGACATAGAGAGTTCCCTCACTTAACTTCTCAAGCCTCCTACACTTGCTCCAGAAGGCTCTGGGTAAGTCATCTTCGGAACTGTCTAGCCACATCGATGTGTGTTATAAGCATGTATGGATATTACAGGGGGGTGTGTTTGTAGAGGCATCTTATGTATGTGCTACCTCTTACGAATGTTGCCTACATATGACCTCGCTTCATCCCTTACAAAGTATAGGTACGTACCCACTTCTATTCCATCTTCCCATAGTCATTGAGGGACAGGGAAAGTGGGCTTGCCTAAAGAGACCTATTTATTAGTAGGGTGTCTCGCAGATGTAGGATAAGAACTCAGGCCTTTAGCTGGCTTCCAGGACCCTAGTTTCATAGTCCTCCCCAAAGCATTGCACAGTGCAGACAACAGTGCTCTGAATCTTGGTGAGATGGGAACCTGGAGGATGTGCCTGGAAACACTCCAGCTGACTGATTCACTCCCCGAGATGTGGTCCACTGAGAACCCAGGCACGTCCTTCCTTTGCAATGGCAGTGCCTCCTGTGTGTCCTGGAATCCCCAAGGGGATGAAGACTGTCACTCTACTTTGAGATAAAATCATCTGGAAAACTCCTCAGAGGAAAACCATTGCATTGTTAACGTTTTTATACTATTGACATCACAACAATGAACTTTGAAAATGAATATTTAAAAACTATTGGTAGCACTGGTGGTGCTTTAGGATAAACAGTGGACTGCTAACCATAAGGCTTGAGGTCAAGGCTGCCAGCCACAGCAGAAAGATAAGGCTTTCTTTACTCCCGTAAAGATTTACAGCCTCAGAAACCCTATCGCTGCTGCAGTTGTTAAGTGCCGTGGAGTGAGTTCCAACGCATAGAAACCCTGAATAGGGTTTCTGAGGAGTTGCTGGTGGATTTGAACCACCAAACTTGCGGTTAGCAGTCCAGTGTTTATCCTAAAGGGCCACACCATGACCCCCACATCGAGTTGGAATGAACTATAAGTTGTAACCAACTTAACGGCACTTAGCGACTTAGCGACAATACTATTTACATTAAAATTTTATAAATGAACAGGTATATGCTAGAAGTATTCAGTCAGCAATGGGATCAATGAATTCACTCGACAACAATTAACAACAACAACATGGGTAATGAAAATGTATTTTTATGTTGGCTTCTGCTCCTAGACATTTATTGTTTTCAGTCATAGAATATAATTAATGGAAATGTTCCCAGAAAACCTGTATTGGATGACGCAGTAAATATAAGCTGACAAATAGCCTGTCCCAAAGCAAGTTCCCTTCTGTTTCCTGTGGAATTCTCTGTAGCTACTGGATGTGGAAATTGCAGCCTGCAAACCATATTGAGTTTCATAGCAAATCTTGTTTGTACCACTTTTAGCAACAGCTGCATAGAGGAAGGAAATTGTGTAGCATTTTATTGTAGAATTTGAACATGTAGCCAGAAAAACAAAAGAATCACTTTTAGAGCCCTCTTGGATTCAAAGAAAAACATAAAAGTGTCAAAGCTTCAGAGACAGTCAGCGGCTCTACCAGAGAAAGATGGGGGTGGGGGCTGCTTTTGTAAGAATTACAGCCTTGAGAACCAACCCTTTGGGGAAGCTTTACTCTGTTCTATAGGTCACTATGAGTCAGGATCAACTCAACAGCGATGGGCTTTTGGGGGGGATCGATAGATTATTATGGTAGAGGAAAAAAGAAAAATTACAGGCTCAGCATGAACTGAAGTCCCTGAACTTTGTCCATTTCTGGTTTGACGTGAGGTGGTCCACCAAGTCATGTTGCCCAATGAATAGCCCAAGTCAGATCTGCAGGAGCGGCTGGAGATGGGAACTCGGCTATGTCTTGTCCACACCGCTGGACACCCACCAACAACCAGCCCATTTTCTCCAGCTTGGGGACCCTGGAGAAGGGCTGCAGTTCTCTGGTGGCCACCAACTTGTTGTGTCACCTCGCTAGTCCTTTCCTTCACCTACAAAATAGGAATCATACCCACGTGATTTATCACAGAGGCTTTTTTTTTGGGGGGGGGGGCCGTGGCTGAGCTCTTCCTTGGAAAAGTAGGGGCTCTCAACCCAGCAGCAATCGGAACCATCTGGGGACTTTTGAAAAGTGTTGACTGCCCTGGAAATTCTGAGCTATTTGACCATTTTCTAGAAGTGGCTCCTGATGAATTTTGTTTTTGTTTTTTTCAATGAATAGACTTTTTTTTTCAGAGCAATTTTGTTGTTTAGTGCTGGAAACCCTATACAGGGTTTCCAAGGAGCAGCTGGTGAGCTTGAACCACCGACCTTGCAGATCAAATGACTTTGCAGTCTGACACATTAGCCCACAGCGCCACATCAGGACTCAGAGAAGTTTTAGGTTACAGAAAAACCACATACACAGGTTGAACAAAGAGTCCACATACACCCACCCCCTCACCCCCACCCTCAGCTCATAGTTTATCATATTATTCGCATCTTGTCACAATAAGCACTGGACTGCTAACCAAAAGGTTGGTGATTCAAACCACCAACTGCTCCTCGGAAACTCTATACAAGGTCCTGGCTAGTGAGTTTGAACCACCAACCTTGCAGCTCAAACAGACTTTATGGTTGCGTGTTTATCCTGCAGCACCACACTGTTGTTAGCAACAGCTTGTCGTTCACATCAGAGTTCATTCTTGGTGTTGGACTGAGACCCCTCGTCCACTGATCTCTTTTGGTGGCTGTGGTTTTGCCCTTCCCCAGGGGGCTGTCATGTGCAGCATGAGCTCAGAAGCCCGCTATGCACTTGGTTCATGAGCCACACAAGAGGTGGCGTGTGGAGGCCAAGGCTTGATGAGCCCCACATCTGCACAGCTCAGAATGCCATTTAGGGCCCCCTGGTAGGTGGATAGAGACCCTGGTGGGAAGGCTTTGTCATCTCATAGTTGTTGCACCTTACAATGATACAAAAGGGGCTAAACCTAGCAGGGTCGGTGGGTGTGGTCCCAACACGTTTGAGATCTCGAATGCTGGAAGGGAGCCCAGCCCAGACCTAGCCAGGCAGCAGGTGCTGGAGATGTTGAAACACGTGCAAGGTAGGATTGTGGGCATTTTGTGCTTCCTCTCCTTCCCCCTCCAATGACTGGCATTTGACACTGTGTTTTGCAGTGACTCTGGACGCGGCAGCAGCCTCTTAGATAGAACCATTGCTGACAGACGACAGCTTAATACAATTACTCTGCCAGACTTCAGCGATCCCGAGACAGGTGAGAATAAGAAACCAGAGGGGATGCCTAGTGTCACTGGGTGATGGGGATGAAGACAGCCCAGGGCTGGGGCAGGGAAATGTGCTCCATTGTCTTCTTCAAGTGTTCACAGAACATAACTCTTAACATTTTTCTGCTTTCCCCCTCGCTCTTGGAACTTAAAATCTGAAGCTAAGAGTAGGTTGTTTCCACCCCCAACAAGTTTCTTTGTGTTTTTCTTTCTCTGCCTCTCGTTTTAGATTGGAGAACTTACTGCAATCAAGGGGTGGCTTGGTGGGTTGGTTGGTTGGTTGGTTGTTCTTTTACCTCTAGCCAATTGCACATATAAACACTATCTTGATCCAACAAATAGCTCCACTTGGGAGGTTGGGGGCTCCTGAATGGCTCATTCCACCTTCCCTACCTGGAGGCCTGTGGACACTTAGTGCCTCTGAGCAAACACTGACACCTCATTGTTTGTGTGCCCCCTCTGCCCAAGTCCAGGAGAGTGAATACACTCCCAGGATCCCCAACCCTCCAAGATGGCAATGCCAAGAGTAGTAAGGACTGTGCAGTGACAATTCGGGGACTCCACAGGCCCACAAAACATAATGAGATTCATTTTACTGCAGGCTTTAATGCAGTCTGGGGAGCCTAGAGCATCATTTGCAAACTGGTTCTGCTGCCCCTGGCCCTCCCCAGTTGGGAGGGTCTATGTGAGGCTTACTCCCTCCGTGGATCTGCCTGGTCTTTTGTGCACTGGCTTCCTGATAGGAGCCTCGGGTGGGGCCTTTTCCAGTCTGGGTGCCAGGTCCCAGGTCCTGACAGAATCCATCCTCTGAGGCATTAGTCCAGCTAGTGTCCATCCTCTGAGGCATCCCTCCCAGCTGCCCCCAGGAGCTCTCTCGGCCGTCTGCAGATGATGCTTCTGCATTAGGCTCCCTCCCACCTGAGTCAAAGTCTAGTGGGCAAGCCTGGCCCAGGGGCCCTGGGACCCTGGGGCTCCTGGGTCAAAACCACTGGTGGGTGTTGGAAGGGCACATTAGCCACTGTTCCCAATGCAGACCTGCTGCCTCACAGAGAAACTCCACCTCAGAGTGGCCTGACCCACAGTGGGTGACAAGAGTCACTGGTGGGGTCAGAGCGTGCACCAGGCAGAGAGCCCGACTTGGGAGAGCACCACAGAGTCCACCTTGTGGGCGCCTGTCCTGCTCCGGTTCCCCTGCTAGAGGTACGGTAAGGCCAGGCTGCCAAGACCAGCCAGCCCAGCAGAGAGAGGAGGAAGCGCCTCAGAGCAGCTGCCTGGGTCTGTGTGCCCACTTCTGCCCTCTCCCCAGGCCCTTGTGAGGACAGTCCTACTAACTTCAGACCCCCTTTAATTCCCACTGCCTTGCACCATAACATCCCCTGTGGGCCTACGTAAGACTATTGCAGCATCACACTGAAAACAGAGAGAAAATAAGGGAGCCCCTGGTGGTTCTCTCTCCCCTTGGTCTCCTGGGACATCTCAATTAGTCCCTGAGGAATCTCCCTCTTGAGGTTAAACCTTGTCAGGTGCAACGGTGTCCAGGTGAGCTATGTCTCTGTGGCACAATCATGGGGGTGCTGCCCCAGCCAGGCCAGCCCTTACTTTCTACTCTTATCATTAGTGCTATTTATACAACCGCCAGAGTCCAGGTGGCTGAGATCTGACTGGCTGCTGCCTACGCCCTTCTGGAACAATAGAGGAGGCCTGCAGCCTCCCAGCCACTGGCCAGAGGCCATTTTCATGCTGTTTTCCCTCTTCTTGAGAATCCCTCTCAGGCTCTTTGCGCTGGCCCTTTCCCCAGAACCACTAAACGCTGATGTATGTATGCATCACTGGTTACTTAATCAGAGACCTTGGCAATGCAAATGGTTAACCCAAAGGTTGATGATTCACACCCACCCAGAGATTCTGCAGAAGAAATGCCTGGCGACCTAATTCCAAACACTCAGCCACTCAAGACCCTGGGGGCGCTCGGACACCCGTGGTGCCACCATGAGTTGGAGTCAACCCAGTGGCTACTGGTTCTTGGTTTTAATTACTTAACCCAGAGACCAGAGAACCAGAAATGAATGGATGGCCAGGCTTTGAGGCCTTCTCCATTGTAGGCAATTTGTAAATGAGGCTAAAACCTTCTGAAATGATTATGTAAATCAAAGGGACTCAGTTAGGAAAAGAGGCCTTCGTCTTGATCAACAAAGCTCAGCAGTGGTACCTCACAGAAGGCCACCTGTCCCTAGATACCCATGTAAACGGTCCACAGACTTTCTGTTTCATCTTGGTTTCAATTTGCCAGGTAATACACTTACCATTATTCAAAAGACACCACGGAGAAGTTTTGCTTCCATCTCTGCCCCTCCATCTTGTCTTTCCCCAAACGTAACCATTTTTATTCACTTTTTTGTTTACCCTTCCAGTGTGTCTTCATGACAAAATACATATTGTGCCACCTTCCATTAAAAAAAAAAAAAACCCCAGCACATTAAACATACTGTTTAGCACCTGCCTTTGACAACCCCCGCCCCCCGCCCCAACATATCCTCAGTGGCAAGCAATATTCATCCACAAAGAATGTCCCCGTTTACTCCTCAGCTATTTCATATCCACACTTGACACCTCCCCACCGAGCTCGGTCACAGCCACCTTCCTTCCCTTTGCCCCAGTTTTCAGTTCTTGTGGTGCAGGAGGAAACTGGCTAATTTTGAATATCCACCCGAGCACAGCTCAGGTGTAAAAGCATCAGGGCGCTACAAAAAGAAAAGTAACTTTTCCAAGGTAACAGTGTTCCTGAATCAAATGAAAGTAACTCAGTCCAGCTCTGGGCTGGGCAAAACAGCCAAGGCCCGTCGCAATGGGTAGGAACCCAGGTTCTGGTCACTCCTGGGGCTTGGCTGCTTTTGTAGATTTCTTTCAGAAGCAAGCACCCAACAGGAACAAAGCATACTATATCGGTAGACATGAACAGCCAAAGTGATGGTGATCGCTTACCCACTCTGGCCAATTGCACTATGCAGACACCTTTGGGAAACCCCACAGGCCCTTGGGTTGTTTCTTTGTTTTCTTTCTCAGAACTCAGTGTATTTAATTTATTATTATTATTACTATGGGAAATTGTCACATATTTACATACCCCAATAGACAGTGCCGATATAATGAATTCTCATGTATGTACCACCAAGCTTCAACAATTAGTATGCTTGTTTCATCTCTCTCTCCCACCCCCACTAAGAATATTTTAAGACAAATCACAGACATCATATTTCACCTGTCAAAACTTCAGTAGAAATGTCTAACAGATGAGGACTTTTTAAAAAATATAGCCAGAATCCTATGATTATACATCCCAGTCATTGTAAAGTGTAGGTTCACCGTTCTGGATTTTGGAAGGAGTTGATTTACTGGAATGTGGTTTTCCACCTCTGAAAATGACCAAGGAAGACCAATTTGGGTAAATGAGTGGACATGTCAAGTGAAAAAAGCCCCCATTAATTACAGAATGTGCTTTTCTCCTCCCCTTACCTCTGGCATATACTAGGTCCCAGCTACTGACCAAGAGGAATCAAATGGAGGGACAGTCTTGACTTTTGCTTTAAAAACAAGATGTGAAATCAGGGCATTTATCTTTAATCAATAGTAGATATTACCGGACACCTATCTAATGGAGCCCTGGTGGTACAGTGTCTGGCTGCTAACCAAGAAGTCAGCAGTTCAAACCCACCAGTCACTCTGTGGGAGAAAGACGTGGCAGTTGGCTTCAGTAAAGATGACAATCTTGGAAACCTGGGCTAGTTCTGTTCGGTCCTACAGAGAGAGTCATTATGAGTAAGTTGGACGGAACAACAATGGATTCTGTATCCAAAGCAAAACAGTTCTTTTAACTTTAAAGCTTGATCTGTTTTGTTAGGGAATTTTTTTAAAAATTAGGAGCTGTGGTGATCTTCCCTCCCCTCTGTTTTCCTGTAGCTGTAAGCGGAGGACAGCAGGAATAATTTCCTTTGCAACGCGCCCAACCATAGACCACCTTACCCTAGCACTCCACTGTCATGACCCCGAGACCCCCACATGCCATTCATCACCCCTTAGTTTACAAATAAATCGTATATAAGTGCTTCTCATTAAAAACAAACGAACAAATCTATGAAAAGTCACGTTCCAGCCCTTCCCATTGGAAAAGCAAATCATTTCCTTTCGAAGGTCCCAGTTGTTGTAGGTTAAAAATGTTTTGTTTTCCATGGGTCAAACTGCTGAATTTGTGTCCGGGTCAGTCTGAGTTATTTTTACTCCATGGTGTTGTGGCAGAACAAATCACCAGTGGGAAAGCAGTAACAACAAATTTATTGTCTCCAAAAAGCACTTGTATTCTATTGTTAAGTAGAGGGAATGGTTGTATATTACATGACCTTTATTTCTTTGCAGCTTATGTGAGTATATTAAAAGCTAGCTGATCTTTCTTTTTTCTTTGTTGTCTCTAAAGTTGGTTTGTTTTTATTTGCCTTTACCCTTTTTTTTTTCTTACTTTTTTAGTGTCAGATTCCTCCTCCTCCTCTTCTCTTTCAAGAACCGAATCTCCTCTCCACCTGTTTGTATCGTCTCATCTTCACTCTCATCCCAAACCCGATACCTTTGTGTGGCCCCCAGCAGCTCATTCATTCAGTGATCCAGGTCCCCGCCAGGATCCCTCTCTCTGTAAACGTGGTTTTTCCTTTCTTGATAGACCTGCTTCATTTGCCTGAAATTTTATTTTCTGATAATCTTCCGAACAGATAAACTGGATAAGAATCTGCACCAAATTTGTCAGAGAGAGAGAGTCTTGCTCATTTGAAAACACAACAGCCGCTTGAAACAGAAGCTGAGCTGAGACTGCAGGTTTCAGCCCAAGTCCCAACTCCATTTGAGGAGTAATGCAGGCCAGTTCAGAGCAGAACTAGTGGGTGTTTTTATAGAAGATTGCTCCTAGCTCTTGGGTGCTTCTGTGATTTCCCCAACTTGATTTAAA